CTGAAATAATATGTCTGTACAGTATATTCACTAACTAAATAGCAATTTCAGCACACAAGTTAGTATTAGCCTAGGAACTCATATTTCTCTACAGTAAAGAGAAGAATTAATCTTCTTCACAAATATAGCTAATTCTTAAGTTAAATGTGTGAATGATGAACCTAAATTAAACCCAACTACATTTGTCAGAAGAGTAGAGTGATACAAACCATAAACAGTACAGGTTTGAACAGGAAAAAATAAACCAGGCATATTATTTTATAAAAGTATGTGTCCACCTACAGATGAAGATGAATGGAACTGATTAGGGATGCTTAATCAAAAAACCCCACAAACAACCCCTCACAGTAATTTTTGCAGTCTTCTTTCATAGAAGTCATGCATATCCTTAGCCAAAGATCATATACCATATCTTATTTAAAAGTATTACAAATATGAATTAATATTAGAGACTACATTTGTTTCGGAATGGATTTAGATTTTGTTAGAAATTGAGGTTTTTGTAAGTTAATGGAGCAGGAAAAGTAGTAGGTCCTCCTTCTCATAAACTGTCATATAGTTTGGAAAATAAAGAATGTGCATTGTTTCTAAACACGTAAGAAAATAGTTTTATTACATTGACTGAATATTAAAAGCAACCACAAGAAAGGAAATAATTAGATGAAAAAAAGTTTTGGAAGATACACTCAGTAAAGAAGAGAATGGATACACTGTAGAAAATGAAATTTCAAAAGGGAGAAAGCAAAATCAATCTCACTGACCGCTGGCTTATTAACATGGTGTAGTTTTCATCTTATTGACTAACAGAGTTACAACATATCAATCTCATTATAACCCTGCATCTTGACAACAATTCTTTCAGTTTTAGTCTCCTTGACAGAGACTGTTCCTTCTTCAACCCAACTTAAAACATGTCTGCTGTCATTTTCCTAGCCTGGAGCTCTGGTGTAAAGCATCAGACCCTCTTTGGACACCTTTGTACCTTACCTTTTTTCACTGTTTCAGACTCAGAATTCTGGTTCCATAACTATCAGTCCCTCTTCTACTCATCCCCTTACCACTTAACAACTTATTCTAATTTCCATGCTACTCACCTTTATCAGCCTTGGACATATTTTATTGATTATTCTTTATAACCAGCTTTGTATCAAATGGAACTAATCATCAAAGGTCTTTAACAGGAAGAGCAAGTCAAGAGGTGACAGAGGAGTGCTCAAAATACTCTGCAGTATAAGCTGGAAAAAATATCAACACCTATACCAACCCTAGCTGTTCAATTTTTTTACAGCAGCTGCTAAGCTACCTGAAGAAAGTACTGATGTGTGTCAGCTCCCTTTAAAAACCTGTGAAAATCTTGGCCAAAGAAATTTGACTAAATAGATAATTCAGTCTCAGTGCAGTAAGATGTTTTGGCAAGGAGCAGCAGGTAAAATTTTTCAAAATGAATGAGTTAGTGGAAGATATGCATGAAAATCCATCTTCATCCCTTCCAGCTTTGCTCATATGAGCTTACATGAACCAGAAACTCCCAAGAAGCGCCTTTGTGATATCTGTCTGAGGGACAGGAAAGGAAGTTCCTCACTTCCATTAAAGCTGGAGAGGGGGGAGCTCATGAGAACCTACAGCTGCAGTCACAGAGAAAATGGCCATTTTTCTTTCTTAGCAGGTTCTGTGATCCTTCCAAACTGGTATAATTTATGTTGTGCCCTTCTGTCCAGCTAACATCTATATCCTTCTATAACCATATCTATCCCGCTACCAGTAATGAAGAGTCTGGAGGAATGCTGGAAAATGAGAAAATGAGTATGGAGCAGCATGGAAGACTTCCAGAGAACTGGACACTAACTTTCATATGAAAGAAGGATGCTCCTATTTCCACGTGTGGAGTAACTGCTCAAAAACCTGTGTGACTGGCTTTATAACCACATACAAATTCTGGGAGAGTTTTGCAGTGCATAAACAATTGCTCAAATGTGTGAAAGTCATGGGTTGAATCAAAAAACCCTGAAGCTCCACACCTTAGCTGGGACAAAGAGAAAGACTATGGAGGGGGATGTGGAACTGACAGGAAAGAAATCTCTTTCCTAATGTAGATAAAACTTTAACCTCCTTAGTAAATAGACACTAAGAGAAATGTCAAATGCAATAGCTATTTTTATTGTTTGTTAAATCTAGCAGTTTTGAGAAGTGATCTGACTGTAATATTTTAAAATAATTAAGCAAAGCTCAAATGCTGATTTCTCACACAGTTACCATGTCTTCTTTTGAAAAAGTACTTTCATATTAAGTGCTCATTTTTTTTATCAAATGACTGTGTCAAAAATGCAGAGAGTAGAGCAGACGAAATTCTGTGTATGCTAGTTACATAGCTACCAGAAGCTACAGTAGGCTATTTTAAGGTCTTTAACTATCAACTGATTCTACTTATTTAGCTTTAAATCTTAGTACTTATGGTTTAGTGTATGCTGACGATGACTTTACGACCCAGGAAATCAGATGATAACGGCTGTTAAGTATGCAAGGTTTTATTCTATATCTGAGTCAGTGAAAATACCTGTGTAACAACAGTTTTGTTGCTTCTTTGTTTGAAAACTACAAACAAGACACATTAATAATGTTTTCAACCAAGACTCTCAAGAGCTTAAGGAGTAGTTATTTATTATAAATGCTAACAAATATCACAAATAAATAGAAAACTTACTCAGATATTGCAAGGATCTTCTTATTTTGAATGTTCATACAATATATGTTTGCTTATTTTTCAGAACTGCCCTAACAGGAAATAATGTGTCACTAGTTTCATTTTATGGACAAGAAAACAGAGCACAAGAAGCTTTAGTAGGATAAAGTTAAAACCTGTTTAGGATCCCAAAATGACCCTAATTACAGACATTTTGAAATCTCTTATAATAAACATACTGACAGATTTTTGAGGAGGAAAGAGAATTTGCATTAGGACAATTGTTAGGTCAGGTGTGAAAGGCAGCTTATCATGTTTAAACAAACAATGTAGAGATGTTAAACAGTGCACTATGAGGAAATCTTGGATGCTGACACAACAGAATTTTTAAAATAAAATAACGTTTCCTCAACAGACAGTGGTAAAATTTCTCCCAGGAAGGCAACCATAAAATGAAGAAGATTGAAAATACCCAAACCAAGCAATTTCATTGTTGTAATAGTTCCATTTTAAGGGTAGCTTTTCCTCCTGTTAGATTATCTCTTTCCCTTTCCTATGGTAAACCAGTGCAAGCTGTCAATTAGGTTCATAAATAATCTCATCCCAGAACTTCTGCTATTCAGTTAAGCTAATGACTTGACTGCAGGCAGCCCAAACCTCAAGTGGTTGTTCCCTTCTACAATCCTGCCAAATGCTTCAGGAGTTTCTGACTATGTTAAATAAAAATTTAACACACAGCTTAGCAGAGATCAGGTGGAGTTATAAACACTGCAGCAGGTATGCAACAAGGTTTTGTTTGATTTGGTTTTTCAATTCACAGTATCCCAGTTTTACTGCAAAACCTTGAATTCAGACTGGAAGTCTCCAAGAAACTAGCTTTTTCAAGACCAAAGAATATCATTATTACAATAGTGTATTTAATACAAGTGTCTGGGTGGTAGATTTAATGATCAAGCTTAATTCCATAACTGATATACAAAATAGAACAAAGACCTTGTTGCAAAATAGGAAAACATTTTTTTTACTGCTTACAAGTTGATCGTGAATATTACAGGGCAGATATATCTGTTTATGCTGAGAATTAAAGAAATTAATTTCACATTTAAAAGCACATAAAACCAGACTTAACTCCCTTAAATAGCGGGAAAGCAAAGAGTTTTTCAATAGCTATATATATTTTTAATCAGTAAAAAAAAACATAATCCTGCTTAGCTTTCTGGCTTTGGTTATTAGGTGTGAAAATCTTTTTTTTTCCAAAGGCATTATAAATGGCAATGTTTACACATGGTGTCTAAAGTTTATGACACCTGTTCTAGTGCTATCCTGTGAGTGGTATCGACACAAGTTTAAACCAAATTTGTATTGATTTCTGCTATTGAATCTATCACTTCTTACTTGAACATGTCGTACATAACTTCCGTGCTTTGGGTGAAGTGCACTTGTTTTGCTCACTCTCTGTTCACTACTACTATTTTTCCTTTCTTTATCTTAAGAGTCAGCTCCAGTGCTTGAGCTGGATACAGACAATCATTAAACACAGCCCAAACTCAACAATTAATTTGTTTAAACATATTTTTGTATTATAAAAAAAATAAAAATTTAAGATTCCTACTCCAGTATGCATAGCTTTAATGTGAAACAGACAAATAGTTGTTGACTAAACTTGTCAACCATACAAGATTCATTTCAGTTACAATTTGCAATTCATCAAGTTCCCTTTAAATATTAGTTTGCATCTGAATTACCTTCAGTATCAAAAGAGACAATTTCTTGTAAAATTTGAACAAATCTTCCTTTTTGAGGAGTGAATGAAGAATAATTTTTAGCAGCCTGAAAACTCGACATGTAATGAATGACATGTTGGCACCAGAGTATGAGTTTTAAAAGTGCCACATCTTATATGTCTTTTTTTAGACATACATAAATAAACAAGCCAACAGAAGACCATTTCATCAGCACTAATTTTCTGTGTTTATCATTTTTTTTAACTGTAGGAAAATTCAGTATTATCTTACCTTTTAAAAAGTAATTATAAAATGCAGCCTTAAGAAAGGAGAGATAATTAGAACCTGATGAATGAATAAATGCCACAGTGCTGGTACCCAACTAGTTCCTTCACAGCACTTTTCTTAATATGGTGGAAATACTTGAAGTGAGGTGCTCACTGAGTTGCTAAGCACAATTCCAATCTGTAAACATTTCGCATACAGTAATTTGCATTAGTTCCACATAATGTACAGCAGCATTAATTAATTGAGTGGATAGCATCTGTACATCTGTTAGCTATTAGTTTTTAATTTATTAGATCTTTATCATTTACCTGAGCAGTCCATCAAGAACAGGAAAAGGAGACCTTGGCTTATGTCATCTGTAGAATAAAAGAGCCTGGTATATTAAATTCTCTTATGTATGTTCGGCTACTTTATATGAACAATGATCTTACAAATTTTGGTACAGGAGTTTGAAATTGTTCTATTTTTGTGAACTAAAAACTCAGAAATTCTCTAGGTCTGTGAAACTATGGTAAATATCAGTAGAGCCAGTTTAAATTAACATGCACTTAGAATCTTTCTGATGCAACTAACTGAACTGCTTTCCTTCAGGTTGCCTTCAAGTTTTGGCCCACTTCAGAGCTGATGAAAATTGCTATCAGTGCAATACAACACATCTACACAATCTAGTTGATTGATGTGCTTAGTTTTCTCTGATGAGTATAAGTTATAGGTTTAAATTTAACTAATATTGTTCCTTCTGGTTCATCATCCTTAATTATGCATCCATCTCAGAAGTAATGAAATTTAGATGGAATATAAAGACTTTCCCCTGATTTGAAAACATGATGAAAAATGTCATTTCATAAACAGTGCAACAAATTGCACTCAAACGTTGCACTGCATTTTGCATACAATAATTTTTAATCACCTGTCCATCCTCCAGAATTAATGATAACACCTTTGGCAAATAATCTCACTGTCCATCGCAAAAGTGAGAGTGTCCCAGACACTTTAGAATATTTATACCAGTATTATTTTGGGATGAATTTCACTTACCCTCATGGAAAGACTCTGAGTCATGTTAGAATCACCCTTATTTGAAAAGCTTGCCCAAACTGTGCAAAATTCTCTTAGACTGGACATATTTCATGATTTTCACTATGTGTCTTATTGGAACAGGTAATGATTGCAGAAGGGGCTTTCAACAAAGAAAATGTATTTGATTAATGGACTAGAAAATTAACAATTAGTCATTCTTACAAATTTAGCAGAGCTAAATCTATGTTTGCACTGATATATCCTGTAAGAAGCCATACATCTTTGGTACATCTATTGGCTACAGACATAAGAACATGTGCAAGTGGCGCAGTAACGCAATTTCAGAGTATTCCACCAATACTCTGAAACTATGAAGAAATGGCTTATAGACTAGAAATTAACAAGACCCCCCACACCCCCTTTAAAAATAATTCCAATTACCTGAATTCTTGGCCTGACATAATGGTATAAAAAGGGATATTTTTCACATAGGCCGATTATCACAGATATCATAGATACATGAACAAGCATGACTCTATCACAGATACATGAACAAGCATGACTCTTCCCAGGAAAGTGATGCTGATAATGACGTATATACATGGGTAGGCTTTACTCAGCCATGTAGTGCTAGACAGTGGATAGAACACAGCAGCTGCATGCAAATGAACACGGCATTTTAATTCACAATGAGTAATTTCTTTCAGGCATGGAGGAACTTTCTCAGAACGATATGTTCACTTTAAATTGGTGTATAGCTCATGCTCTGCATGTCCCTTTGTGTCACTGGTCCCTTTGGGAAGGACTGTGCAGTGTGTGATGGAAATGTTATGAAAATTAGTGGAGTGTCATTGCAATACCACAAAATTATTAGATATTTGAAAGTGCAGTGAATTATCTCGCAATTCAGCTTTTTATGTTTGCAATGTACATGAACAAAACATAGCCTATGCTACAAAGTTGACAATTATGAATGTTCAGTTAGGTAGACAGTAACACTTGATATTTCACTACAAAGCTTCATGTCTGCAAGCCAGTGTACTTCTCTTGCAACTTTTATCACAGTTGTTATTTGAACACATAGTCTTGTGTTTGAAGATGTCTCAGCAGACAGAAAAGAAAGTGAGAGGAAAGAAGGAAATAAGGAAGAAAAGGGCATGGAAGGCTGACTATTACAAGATAGTGATAGAGAAGATAGGTTGCCTGTCTGAAAAGGAAAAACAGCAGCCAGGACTGGGAAGTAATGAACAGAACTGTAAAAGCTTGTATGCCAGCTTATGCTTCAGTGATTTTCTCCATAGCAATGCAGTCTGAACATATTAAAGGCTGAAAGGCTAGCTGGCAGTAAAGATGAGACACAGTCCACTTCAGAGAGATCTTGGTTGATTTTATACATTGGATACTGTAGATTCGAAAAGCCTTTTCAACCACTGAGTTATTGTTAGAGCCAGAGTCCGTGCTTTTTTTAATCTCTGCAATAGCTTTCAAAGGAAAGTGCAGGTTGATGCTTATGCCCTGTGGCAAAATCCTACTTTTTAATTCATAGTTTAGATGTCTGATTTTTCTTCTTGGACTTTCTGTGATTCATTTTCATACTTTGGTTTTAATGTGGTATTGCAACTGCAATTCCAGTTATCAGGCTTAGCTGTGTCTTTATCATGACCAGAAAACGTCTCTGTTGGGATTTCTTATCTGCAGGGCTTTTAGAATATGGAATTTTCTGAGAGGACAAATAAATTTAGGACTTCTGCACAGGTCCAGCTTTTTAGCTGGGTATCAAAGCATAGTTTAGGAGTAGATCAAAGTCCTAGCAACACTCACTGAAGGCACAAGCAAGTGCGAGTATGCCAAGCCTTGCTGGCAACTTTTAAAAAGGTGTGTGACATTCCATGAGCTTCATCCCAAGTAAATCTTGACCACTCAGAGAAAGGCAATAAACACACCAGATCACAGTAATGAACCTCTTCCTAAGGATGAGAAGTAGTATGGCAGAAAGAACCAAGATTTGACAAATTTACACTTAAAACTAGAATCTTTGGAAAAGCATACGTGGGGACTAAAGTCTCAACACTGTAAGCAACGCTACTTCTTATTTAGTTATGTGTTTACTGGAGCTTCACTTATGGTTCAGAATCTCCACTGTGTAAAGTCACATGTGAAAAATCATTCCTGTGTCAAAGAGCAAAACAGATAGGCTGGTGGACAGAAAATAAAAAGCCAAATGTTCACGATGAATGCACAAGTCAATGAAATGTGAAAATAATTTCTGACAGCAGAAACAATGCTGATTCCTATCACAGTGTAACTTTAGATTGACTTTGTATTAATTTGTGTATAGATCACAGCCAGTCTTTTCAAACTCTCATCATTATGCAATTTACTTTGGCTTTGAATCTTAATTTAATTCTGTATCATGTTTTGCATGATACAGTCGGGTCTTGACTGAAATGCTGAATTGTAAAAATAAGATGATTCTGAATTTTAAGATTATCCTCAAAACCTTTCCCAGAATCTACTGGATCATTTGGGTTTTGTTCCATTTGCTATTATTTTTAATTGTCTTCCATTATTGAGAGTCAGCTGCAGTAACAAAACACTTTGATGCTGAGAGGTGCTAAGCTCCTACTGATGTCAGCAGGAGATACATGGAATCTGCGCTCCTCAGGTTTCACCCTACAGTCTTTATTGGGTTGACAAATATAGCCAAAGCCTGTGGGAGGAGGAAACCTTTGCAAATCTTTGCAGTCTCAAATGTTACAGCAATGACAGTCTTTAGTAATTACAGAGCTAACTTCTCTGAAGGAGATCAAAATTTAAATGGTGGTTTTGTTATAAGCTGTGTAAAGTTCAAATAAATTCCTTGCTAGTACAAAACCAAACTGCTACTACAAAACCAAACTGCTACTACAAGCTTACAATGTTAACAGAAATTGGTTTTATGCCATCAATCAACAGAGAATTTTTACCAAAATCTAACATAAAAGATGTGTAAATACTACCTTCTACAGTCATTGTCTAAAACATTAAGTATATTTTTTTATGGCCTTGTTGATCTGTTGGAGCCAAAACCAAATTTAAATAAACATAAAATCCATTTGCTTTAAAGAAGAAATAAATAGAATCTCAAGTACTATAAAACAAGAGGTATCAGAGTGGATAACAGTTGCTGGCACTGGTTAGTTTCTGTTAATTAAATGGCTGGTGTACAGACCAAAATATAAACTAAGAACATTTTCAACAAAACAGTATCAATTTTATGCCATGATTTCTACAGGGACTTGATTTTCAAGATGCAGCAGACTATAGTATTGAGAATTTGTGGCCTTCCATTTGTTTAATTTATGATGCTTTATATATTTATTTTATTAAAAATAATAGCACCGTTTTGAGGAATAAATGCAGTAAATGTGTCAATAACATACAGTGTTATCTCCTCTTTGGCATGACACTGCAACTTCTTGGTTTTGCTCTTGCATGAAGTTGTAATTTTATCAACATATAGTATTTTTGCATTTTCTTGCTCTTACTAAAAAAAGTTTCAATGACTCATAAAACTACCACCTCAACCCAGACATTGTATTACTTCCTGGAGCCAGCTTTCTGATGGAGATGGCGGTGGCCAAGGGTTAGTAACATGGTATCATGTTCTGGGATGTTGTATAATGATGCTTAAGGTTCTTGAGTTTTGACTAGACACCATAATATGAAGCACTATTAAAAATATGTTCTGCTTTTCTCATGGGCATAGGCTTCAAACATGCTCCCTTCTTGATGATTTTCTGGTTACATAAACAGTCCTCAGAGAAACATTTAAACTTTCCTTTAAAACATACTTGCTGCGATGTTCTCTGCTAAAACAGTTTATTTATAGTAATAGATGCTTTAAAGATCATATTGGCTTTTTAGAGGTGAAAACTTCCCCTTTCAGCATCTAAAGCAATTTTATATAGAAACGTTACAATGGAAATATGGCTAGAGAAGGGGCTGTTTACTTTTCACATCTCCTCAGTGACATAACTGGTCCTCTGCTGTGTTTTTCCAAGTTTATCTCTAGTTTGGGAACTCCTAGGAGACTGTTCCTTCAAGAGATTTTTCTGCAAACTGAAATATCAGGGACTCTTTCTCTAATTTCAGTCTGATAAATCCTTTTTTAAATTTCATCCTTTCACTCATCATTACAGCCCCATGGTATCAATCCACATTTTTCTCTTTCCTTGATAAAACTCAAATATTTTTAAGATAAAGTATTGCCTTGTGGAAAGTATTGATATAGTCTTTCTTCATGTACCAGTTCCTCTAGTTTCTAAGATTATTTATGGCTTCCTTTAGGTGGCCT